TGCTTGTACAAGTAACCATGACAGCAGGTTTGGCTCTATTTTGTTCATAATACGGTTAGATTGAATACATTTACAAAATAGATACTAAACTTATTGATTTATCAATACAAAATATACACACACAAAAATAAAGACAACAAGCATATGTTTCTATACATATTATAGCCTCAGAACTATTTGGTCCAAAGTACCTCTTCACCTATAAGTAGGCCTACACTTTGGACCAAATAGTTCAGAGGCGATGATATATTGTATACTATTGACCAAAAGGTCACCACATTCATCAATGTCGGAAAGGGATAGTTATTTCACACTTACAGGAACTTACAGCCCACGTCTTATCGAACGGAGTTTCAGGGAATCATTTTTTAAAAAAAAGTAGAATTCAATCCAAAAAAGAACAAAAACATCAAAAGATGACGAGGTTAGGTAATAAGTGCACATTCAAGAACAAGAAAATCTTTAACTGAACAGTTTCGCGACAAAATGCAACAAAGACCATTTTCGAAGTTTGTCCGGAACTGGTTACGTCATGTCTAGAAAGACGAGACACATCACAGAGTAACTTATTTTACCGCGCCATTTTTCCTCTTTAAAGAACTGCAGAAAGTTCCGCTATTTAAAAAACTTTTTTTTTTTTTTTTTAACAAAGCCTAACAAAAGCGGCGGCCCCTGAGTGACAAACTGTGACATAACATGTTGACTCATAACTCATAATACGTCACTATAACAACCAACAACGGAACAACCAATCAAAGCTGTTTCCTCGAGTCAGGTGACTTCGCTTGAGGTTGACGAAAGTTTGAGAGTGGCGGCCCTTTCCCTTCTTAGGGTATCAAAGTACATTTGTAGATGTGTCGCGTTTTGTAGAAAATGTGTGGAGAGCTCTTCAATTTGTTGAAGGAGAAAGATCCAGCAACATAGATTTCATCAATTTATTGAAGGAGAAAGATCCAACAAAATAGATTTCATCAATTTGCGAATATAAACTAAGTCTTACACCGTGTTTATTCTAAAGTCAAAGTTGCTCAAGGTTATTCAGTAAATGGGTGAAGAATAAAAATCTTCATTTTTCTCAAAACCGGGAAAATGGAAGCATGTCACGCTTTGTCGCCAATCTGTTCCAACTTGTCACAGAAAAGAAGGATGAGAAAAGTGGACTAGGTTTCGGACAGCGCTTGTCAAACTGGTCCGTATCACCCACTAGTGGACCATTACTGTCACGACGTGGTGAAATCAGGCTCTCGTCAAAATAATCAAAGTGAAGAAATTGGCATTTTTTCGCAAATTTGTGAATTTTAATCAGTTGTTTTTTTTCAGCTTAACACCTTTCATGCCCATTAAAGAACTCATTTCTGTGTGGATTTGACGGAAAAACGTTGATTAAAGGCACAAAAAAGGTAAATTTTCAGTTTCCACTGACTCTCAAGCAAAGGAAATAGATCTAACTAATCTTTGTCTGCCATTTTCTCGCCAGTTGTACCTCTGAATCCAGGTGACCCCCACCTACTTCATACGAAAATATTTCGACTTCTATTCAAGATAAATGGACGGGTTTTTTCACCCAAAGCAAGACAAATGAACAAGCTTTGAGATGATACCAATAACTCCACATGCCCAAAAATTGACGAGAGCCTGAATACAGTGATTCCATCGCGTTGTGACAAATTTGGTCAATCTGGCGGGCGCCAGGGATCACCCTGGGAGAAACACGTACACATGTTAGTCAATGTCCCGCTTGGAAAGATACAATGCAGGTGGGTGTTAAGAAAATGTAGCCTCTTAACCCTTGGAGCCCTTGCCATCGGTAGACCAGTGGTGTGTAAAACTGTCCGTATGTCTAGCCACAGGTACACTGATGGTGTATAAGTATAAGACTGTCCGTATGTCTAGCCACAGGTACACTGATGGTGTATAAAACTGCCCGTGAACCTATCCACCGATACAGCGGTGAGTGAGACCTATAAATCCCCAACCCAGACAGTCTGGGACCAAATGTACACAGAAAACTGTGTTTACTACACAGGACGTTATTGAGCATTTGGAAGATCTTTCTGAATTAAACGCTGGTAATGACGAGGACTACCCTGAGTGGGATATGGAGAGTGATTCTGATGATCTTATGGATGTTTGTGTCATACATCGCTCAGGAGCTCCGGCAGAGGGGCATGGTAGCCTCAGGAGGTCAGGGGGTCAGGAGGTCCGGGGGGCAGGGCTCAAAGGGTTAGAGGTCACAAAAGTGTCACAAGCGGCAACAGTGGCCGCTGGCTATGACAAGATTGACAAGCACTGGTTTCAGATAGTATAAAGGAACAAACATCTTGTAAAAATTATTTCATCTGCTTTGAACCTTGTAGCTTTAACCACAGTGATTGGGATTTATTTTTTGGGGGAAGAAATTTATGAAAATTCTGTTTCATCAGAGTTCATTTTCAGCAGTCCACTGCTTGTCCTTAATCTCCACAAACGTCTCGCTGTGTCACTGTGTCACTGTGTCACTGTAGCACTGTATATACATGGCCACTGAAGACAAGGAGCCCACTAGCCAGGCAGACTGACCCGACTGTCATGCAAACACTCCCACAACAAAGGAAACACACCCCAACCAGTGACATGACAACAATAGAAATATATGCGGAGACCACAAGTAGAAAATGGGCACAGTTTCAAAATGAGCATTGCCAAGAAATCTATTAGGAGAGTTGTAGATTCTTAACTTCATATCTTTTAGACGTGTTGGTTCATCATTACATTACTGTCAGCTGA